CCCCCCCCCCCCCCCCGCCTCATTACAGACTGCAACAACCGTATTCATCAAATAGTCGATGGTGGAGAAAAATAACTTCAAATTAAAAAACAAAAAAAAAGATTATTATCGAGTATATAGCAATAATTATAAATGAAATCGAGCGCGCTTAAATGAAAAAACAATATTTTCTTTTTTTAATATATATTTTTAATATACAAATAAATAATAAATTCTCGCTCTTTTCATCGATTCTCAAGCAAAACAACTATAGTTGACGAGTAGTCTTTCAGTATACAGATGATGCGTCAGGTAACAAAGCTAAAGGTATACGTGAGTTCCACATTTCAGCTCCGCAGGAGCTGCGCTAACAAGCTTTTTTTTATTGCAGTCAAGTTGATGATGAACGTGTTTATCGTAATGGTATTGATTTGAAGGATTTACCTGAAGTTCAAATAACAAGTGTCAACAAAGCACCATTACAATCAATGAAGATTGGTTTGTCAGCAGCAAAAGCTGCTGTTCAATTTTTTGATAAACTTTTACTTCCACAATCAATTCAATTATTTTGTAATGATTCAATTGATCTTAAAAAAAATACAATTAATGAATTAAAAATTATTCAACATTCTCTTAATTGTTTTTCGATCAATGATTTAACTTCTAACAGTATTTTTCATAGTAAGTAGAGTATTTAATCATTTAGATTAACCAGTATTACTAACTACTTTTTTCTAGATCATAAACGAGATAATATTGATGTTAAACAAGTTCTTTTGAATTTGGAAGAAAAACATTTACTCAAGCATGGTAAATTTGTGAAAGTTGGATATCGTTGTATTGAAAGTTGGATTAAAGTTTTACCTGAACCAACAAATGATGCACAAATTCGATGTTTTGAAAATGAATTAAATTCCAGTTATCAACTTCAATTAGAAAAATATATTGATTACTATGAAGACGGTATTGATAACAAGTTATCATTAACTGAAACAAGTGAACGTATATTGTTAACACAAAGATCATGGATTGAACAATTACGACGAAAAATCCATAATTCTGCTATTCAAGAAAATAGTTCAGGTCAAATATTTTTATCAGCCATTAGTCTTGAGATTTTTTGGAAAAAGCAGAAGATATTTTTAAATAAATAATTCCTGTTATACATTTTTTTAACAAAAGAAAGACTTGATTGTTTCTTCTAGAGTTGAGTATGTTTTACACTAAAATCATGTGTCCGAAATTTGCATAAAATATGGCTAGTCTTCCACAAAACGATTTAACTTTTGATTATTTCTAATCAATGTTTTTTTGAGAAGAAAATTTATCAGATGCATATTCATTTTCCGTTGTGTGGCCAGATAAGAAGTGTTAAAAAACAGTTGTTATGCCTTTGTAAGAAAAAATAAATATTAATGAACCATTAGTATGCAAAATACAGCGATAAAATGATCATTTACCTTGAAGAAAAACAAATAGATTTAGCGAAAAAGATGAGAAATTTGTTGAAAGATAAACAGTTACTCAGAACTTATATTATAAAGGGGAGAATTTATTTGTATTTATTTTGTATTAGTGAAGGAATTGTGTCCCAAGATCAGTGTATCTAATGCATAATATCAAAGTTCTACTAATGAAATAAATTAAATTCGCGTCTCTCTATTGTTCGCGATATTAATATATTATGGAATTGGTTTTTTTTCATACTTTTAGAATCAACAAATCGTCCATCTACAACAATTTCACAATCCGAACGTACTGCACCTTTTGCAGGTAATAGTATTTTGAACACGAAGTATTTATCGGTTTCTATTTCCATCTATTAGAAGTTTCTCAAGATATCATTCAGTCTATTACTGATAATGCAAATGATTTACAAAAAACATGCTTGAACACAAGTAAATCAATTGATGTCATTCAACACGTGAATATTTCACGAATAATTGAATGTCATGATAGTGAGATATTCTACATTTTATGTTATTGATAAGTTCAAGTTGTATTTAGAAGTGTTGATGGAACATAATGAAAGTATAATCGATGATAATCAAGCTCATGAACGTATAATGGATGATAATCAATCTCCTGAACATATTACTCATGATGGTGTATCCAATGCAATCGAACGAATGGCTGATCCCGTCAGTGCAACTGATGTAACAATGATTGGTTCAAGTACAGATCAAAATCAAACAAGTAAAACATAAGAGCATTACTTAACACATATTATCTCGCTGAATTATAGTTTCTTCAACGGAAATCTCAACAAGATGTGCAACATCGAGTGATTATATAATTTCAGAAGATATGAAAATATTATGTAAACGAATATTGTTATCAGACTCTATTATTTTGTCTAGTACAAAATTAAATAAGGTATGTAAATCAAATATGGTGGATGTACATAAAGCATGTAAATTATTAATTGAATATGGTTTATTATCGATTGAAACAAAAATGCTTGCAAACAAATCTCCCTATTATGAATGTTATATGAAAAAAATTCCACAAAATCAATCACGGTTAGTTGATTTTTCTCTTAAATTATCAAAATTTGGAATTGTCAATATTGATACGTATTACGAAACACTAAAAACCAGTAAGTTCGATGCTTTTAAAATTAATAAATAGTCACTCATGACAAGTGATTCTTTTCATATTTTCAGAAAAAACTTTCTGTTTCTATTTGAATAAATTAACATGTTTTGATGAAATTTTTTATACATTATACTCAACTTGAAAAAAGAACCAGTTTATCATGAACGAAATAGGAGGTGTCATGCCTTTTTTTAGTGATATAATTTCTAGTCATATTTTCTCTTATAAGTTTCTATTGTTTATTTAATTGACACACAACAGATATTTTTCTTTTCAATAAGCACACATACTAACAACATTTAGTTACTATCCATACTTTATGCTGAATTTTATAATGAACAATGATTTTTCATCTGGATGAGAAGGATATGTCACATTTCTTTTTGTTTTTTTCGAATTTTCAGTTGAGATATCATTGGTAATTTTTCAACTAATTTGTATTGAAAGACGAATTGTATTCTTGCAGCTAGATACTATGTGCACAAGGTAATTAATGAAAAGCTAGCACATTTTACGAAAATCTGATCGGAAGTTTTGGAAACAGTTCAGACCTATGAAAAAAACAAATAAAAATAATCGAAAAATCCGAAAAAGCAACAACATACATTTCGAATTATTAATAATAAACACATATTTTTTTTAGTTGATACTAAGAATAACACCTATTTGACACCACATGGAATGTCAATTTTGAAACAAAAACCTTACAATGATCTCGAGATAGTGATAAATGAAAATGCCATTATGCAACCTGCAAAAGAACGTTATCATGAATTAGCTGATTTAACAAATGATAGTCACAGTGTTGACAAAGAAAATTGTGAGTACATACCTTTTTTCTATAGCTTACACAATATGTTGTTGTTATTCATAGTATCAGTGGTAGAAGTCGACAAATCAACAAATGTTGGACATGAAGTTGAACATTGTCTTTCAAACGCGAAAAGACATCGTGAATTAACTGACAAAGGAAAAGAATATAAAGAACAACAAATGAAATCGAAAAAGAAAAAAAATGATCATTAATTTGCTTTCTTGTGAAAGATATCAGTGAGATAAATCTAAAACAATCTCTATTTTTGAATGTTGTAACAGTAGAGACCTGCATAATCAGTTCGTTATGATCAAGAAAACAATTGTTGTTCGATAAAAGTTTCAAGAGTAAATGTGAGAAACGAAACTTATTTAACTATCCTTGTCCATATTCAGAATTTTTTCCTCTTCAAAATGGTATATAAAAGTCGACGCATTCCATGATCTAAAATAAGTTTTGTTTCTCACATTTACTATTGAACTATAATTGAACAACCTTTGTTTTGTTTGGTCACGACGGACTGATCGTGCAAATTTCTATATAAAATAGAACTTGTAAATTAACCAAAATGTTATTGATATTTATTTTCTTAGTTTGGTTTTTCTGCCCAAAGGTTATTGATGGTAGATAGTAATCACTAGATATATATGAGTAATTTTCAAGACAATAAATCATGCACTGATATTCATCATTTTGTCAATCATAATTGTGTTTACAGTTGAAAAATAATCGTATAGATTTATGTAACATGTGCGATTTAAATAAAGAACAGTTATCTTTTTAATATTCATTTTACCAGCATATTCTATATTACATGAAACAGTAAATGCCATATATAAACAACCACTCAGTAAATAAAAAAAACAAAAATATGATTTATTATCTTGAAAGTCATTCATATATATTCCCTATCCTTTATGAACAATAGTCTATTTTTCACAAAAAAAGATTGATAAAATTCAACTAAGTTTTGTCTTAATTGATTACTTAGTGCTATGTCAAGATATTTGGAAATTTAGTTTTCGATTTTATACCACTGAATTTAATTTGTTCTTCTTTCGTTCATGTGTTCTAAAAATGTAGGGTAACGATTGTTATATATTTGAGTTCACTTTTTTCTTTTGTTCTAAAAAATTTACAGTAACGCTTGTTATATATTTGATTTTGCTTTTTTCTTTAGTTCTAAACTTGTAAGCTAACGATTGTTGTGTATTTGATTTCGCTTTTTTCATTTGTTCTAAAACTGTAAAGTAATGATTGTGGTATATTTGTATTTGTCTATGATATTTTCATGTGCATGTTGAGCTATTTCTATTTCTTAAATACATGTTACTGAATGATGAAAGAATTAAAAATAAATACTTATTAGCCAACACATTTCTTCCAGTAAGGATGTTACCAGCCATACCTAGAGAGGTAAGCCGACGCCTCGATCAGCAGCGACCTTTGGAAAATTAGTAATTTTTTGGTTCATCAGCAGCGGCACAGCCGTTCGGCTTACACTAGTCATATCATTTAATCTAATGAATGAATAGATCTTATTAATATTTTTTTCTCTTTATTTTCAGATGCATTCTACTGATAACATCATCAATAATATTGATGATAATGAAATGTTTCTTATTTTTTTGAATCGGCAAATACCAATGAAACATTTAAATTTAATTTATTGTCTCGATAGTAAGTTGGATGAACTTATTTCAACCAAATATGATGATATATCGAATATGATTCAACTTACGTATCATGTCAAATATGATGCCATGCTCATACAATCAATCTTAAACTTGTTAAAATCAAATCGAAACTCGTTAACTGTATTTTCATTAGAAAACACCAATCAGATCATTAACAATTATTCGAAGAATCATCATTTTCTTACAAAAGCATCCTTACATACTATAAAACCATTCACATTGCTTTGTTTATCTTGTCAACACCCATTAAAATTGGATTTCAAAGAAAATGTTAATGTTTTTCTTATGGATCGTGTTGATAATGGAGTTACTTATTCGGCTCATTGTTGTCGTATTCAATATTATGCAAATAGTTATGTCAAAAATTCAAAACGTTTTGTTATTCGGAAGTCCTTATACAATCAAAGATACATTCATTTGGGTGGTAAATGTGTTCTTAGTATAGATGTTATATTACGATACGTTTCGGACTTACTCAGTATGGTAAGTTGAAAAGATTTTAAGTAAAACTATAATTCTTTCATGTATCTATCTTATAATTTTTAAAAAATATTTTTAATATCAAATTTCATTCTAGTATTCTGGTTTTGAGAATTTTTGTGAAGCGTATAATGATACAATTAGATCATTGTTATTGCGACATTTTGATAAAAACGATTCGGAAATACAGAACCAGCCAATGTTGGAACGCCGATTGTTTGAAAACATATGGTTGATTTATTCGTCTTCATTACTAAATTTATTTTTGTCAACAACTGAAGAAATTGAAATTCCATTAAATATTAGTGATCGCGAACAACGCAATCATTATTTTACTAGTCAATTGCCTCAACTGGAACGTGATTTTATACTATTCTGGTCGAATCATTTGTTGAAATTTAATTGTGGCAGCCAATGTTGTAAAGCCATTGTTATAGATGGATTTCAGAAGCCAGATCGATTTGTTTGTCAGTTTGCACGAGAGTTGATTCATTCGGAAGAGCTTGGTAAATATTTGTAAAATGTTTAAGACCTTCATAAGCCTCCATTCCTATGTATGCTTCAGGTGATATTGAATGGGGCTGTGGTATTCGTCCTGAAATGATTAGAGATAAACAACATCCGGGCTATTGGACGAATACAAACTATTGCCCTAAACATATTCACCTTGAAAATAGTCAATCAGTTCATGGTTCAACTGATAAAGACGAATACGATGTTGTTGATTGTAATGTTTCAAGGTAAAGATGAACACATTAAATACATAATATTTTACATTTTCATAGAACTGATCGTTATTCTAAGCGTCAAACATCTTATGGAATAATATTAACTATATACAACTGTGGCATAATTGTCAATTTTGATGAATTGTATAGATGTGAGTCACCAATACGAGTACTTCATCATCTATTTACTACAATTGATTATCTTTCACCAACAGTAGAGTAGGAATTTTGCATATAGAATTTATATTAAGAACAAATAAATTTTTTTGCAAGTTCAGATCGTTGCCAAAATATTTAATTTATGATAATGCTTGTGGTTTATTACTGACTTTTCGCAACCGACTTCAAAATGGTCAAATACGAACTACTATCCGAACAGATGCCTTGTAAGTGCGTTGTCATGCTATATTGTATACAAGACGTTTTTTCATAGAAACAAAATGACGTTTTTGGTTGACAAATTTCATATTGGCAACCATCGGAGAGAAATTTGTCAAGCTCAAACAAATCCATACAAATATCCTCAAGTAAATGAAATAAACACTGTAGTTTGCGAGCAAACCAACTCGAAATTGAAAAAGTACCAGAACGCTTTGTCCTCATTTTCTTTACCAAAGAGTAAAATGTTTTACTTATTGTTATTCAATTTGATGAATTGTAAGAAAAAAAATATATCTATTTATGAATGTCAAAAACAATGTCATTGACATAGTTTACTTGTATTACCTGTTTTTTCTCAATCTAATAAAAAAATGTTCGACTTAACAAAATAGAAATACTCTAGTAAAACATACACGTATATAAATTATCGATAAAATAACAGATATCAGCCTTACCAGTGCACAACAACTCTGAAGATCTATGTCAGTGCATCGAAAAAGATCCAGATGCAGGTATGTGTGGAGGGTACCGGAGGGGCACATGAGGGTACCGCTGCTGGTGAGGGTGCGGGTGCGCGTGAGGGTGCACAGGTAGGTGATGCTGCCGGTGCTGATGAGGTGCTGGAGCAAGTGATGGAGCGGGTGCACATGAGGGTACGAGGGCAGGTGAGGGTGAGGGTACGAGAGCAAGTGAGGGTGTGGGTGCTGGTGAGAGTGTGGGTGCTGGTGAGAGTGTGGGTGCGGGTGCTTGTGTGGGTGCGGGTGCTTGTGCGGGTGCGGGTGCGGGTGCTTGTGTGGGTGCGGGTGCTTGTGTGGGTGCGGGTG